GAAGAACTACCTACAGAGTCCGAGTCAAGTTTAGGATGGGTGGGGCCTGGGTCAAGAAGTAGAGAACACACATCTGCGTAACTCTGCCCACAATGGACGGAACACGCGCCGACTAGGGATAGTGGCCGCCTGGAAAAGTTTCGAGTTCGGTCATAGAACAGCCCAAAGAATGGAGGTCAACAGCTATATGTGGGAGTGCAGTGCGCTAAAGTGGACAGAGTTTACCCCGAACTTATAACTCGCTCTCAAGAAGTCTTAGACACCGGGATAAGTGATTAGAGTCCGACTACGGGAGGGAGGTCGAATGCTATTGGTAAGAGGAGCGTGCACCAATGTAGGCGGAGGCAGCCACAGTTAGGTTCAGAGAATCTCCTGAGGTGAGAATAAAGTGAACAGAATCCGACAACGAAAGCGAGATCAAGTGCTATTGAGTGGAGCGTGACTTCACTGACTTAATCCTGTATTGTGCCTTCGAAGAGCCTCAGCGCTATTCGGGTGCTGGATCCCCCTAGATCGCATATGTTTTCTGCGAGGGCGAGTGCGGTATACTCCTGACCGGGATATGTGTCGTGTCGTTGTTTGAAAGATCTATCTGTTCAGATTATATGAACAAATTGCTCTTCCTATTGATAGCCGTACACCGGAAGTATTCAACAGCGCTCAAACAGCAATTGAACAAGTTCTTGAAGTGGTGAACTCCTTTGCGGTACGTTTTTCTTAAGCAGCAGAAAAGAATGACAGAAAAGGATGTATGAAAAAATTCACATAATTCCTTGTAAGCTGCCAACCTGATGGTTGTCGTCGACACACAGAATAATTATCGTCACTATATCGTAAAAGCTAAGGGCGGAAGTGGTGTAGTGGCAAGTGGCACGCTTACCACGCGAGCGGTCCGGGGATCAAATCCTGGGTCGTGAGTCGCCCGGGCCAACCAAGCCTTCCATCCCTCCGGGGTCGGTTAATTGGTACCAGACTTGTCTGGGAGGAAAAAACACTGACTTGTACATCGGCTGGCCCCCGCAAGTCATTGTATAGGCCACATCGCATTCAAACGCCACTACGAATGTACAAATGGAAGCATCCCAAAAAGGGATTGATCAACGGCAAATGCTTTATCCTTTTATCCTTTTATATCGTAAAACCTGGTTGAATGAATCATGGAAGGACCGAATAAGGCTAGGAAGCAGTAAAATCCAACCGCAATCAATTGAATCAGTGAGAAATCTCCTCGCAATGCTATCTCGACCACGCGTGCTGCAATACGGCATTACAACTTATCCATATAAAAAAATCAGATTGAGGTCCCCAGCGTTCTATTTTTCGCAACCTCCATCCCTATATCTAATAATTTGTTTTCGATGAGCAACCGCCGTAATAAATCAAATATCCAACTTTTTCTTGGATAACCCATCTCATTGCTGTCATATTTTATGAGCATATTGACGCGTACAAGCATTCATATCACCGACAGTTCACGTTTGGCTGCGTAGAACCGGTGCGATTTTGAAGGCGCATCCAGCTCTCCTCGGACACGTGGATTTTGAGTGGTGAATACACGGGAGAAGTCAAAAAAAATTCAATAACTTCCGCTGCGGTAGCAGAATCATTTTTGCCCTGATCATAGCAATCAAAGCCGTTTTTCTCCAGGCTCATGGTTCTTTGATTTTTGGCGAATTATTTTCAGAGGTTACGATGCAGTCTGGAAGCGATCAATCTGTTGTACATTTTGATGTACAACATTTGTGTATTTACTTCACCTTGGAGCTTACACACTAGCAAAAAAGATTGCTCTTGCTGCATGAGTGCAGGCTATTGTTCACTAGGACAGAAAAAGAGAAAGCGAATTTTTCGCGTTCCGCAGCGCGAAACACGAAAAAATCGCTTTCTGTTGTAGTGAACCACACCCATGAGTGCAAGTTGAGCTCGAAACCGAATGCTTCTGCATCTGCTCGTAGAATCAATGAAGCCTGGGATGAAGGCACGGTTGCAGAGAGGACTGTTCGAGAGCGTTTGTTGATTACGCATTTATTGTTGTTTTTGTTTGGTTTTGTTAATAAACTTATGAGTGAAATGGAAACGGCGGATAATTATTGCTCTAACCTAATATTTATACTTTGATGAAAACGAGGAGAAAATAGAAAATAAACAAACTAAAGAACTTATAGTGCTTGGAAGACCTTGCTGAACTGAAATATATAGGACCGTTCTGTTAACCAAGTTGTTTTCACCTATTCTGAGATATGATCTATAGAATCAATATTCAAAAAAAAACTGGTCAAAGGTCGCATACGCGGAAGAAGGGTTGAAATAGGTGCGGACCATTTGGCCCTTGCAGTCGTGCACGTGTTGCGAAAAGCTAAGAATTACAAACGCGATTAACAGTTTCGGATGATAGTTATTTTCATTTGCATTAATGAGAGGTTTGTGGCAACATCAAGAAAACGCGTCTATACGCCTTTCTCCATTGTTTTCGGTTCTTTAAAGGACGAATTCACGATGAAAAAGCAACCCATTTCAAATTAACCTAGGGATGGTGAGTGGTACACGAAAGAAGGAAGAACCATGAGAAACGGCCCAGAACCCGAGAAATGGGACCCCTTCCTTGCCCGTTGATTTGAGCATTGATGCGACTCTCATCGCTGTGCCCTCTTCAACACTACGCTCTCTCAGCTATCTAATCACTCGCCACGTATTGAACTACGGTGATCAGATGATCGGTGGGCGGAGATCGCCGGACCCGCCAGCTTTGAGGCATGATAGGTCGCCGAGGTCAAATTTTTCCATGCGAATTGCGCGTCAGTTCGCACCCTCAGGAGGTCCGTGGGTCCCTCAACTAGGTCAGTTTCCCTTTCTTCGACCATTCTAATCGTGAATTCCTCCTTTAAAGACGGAGAGTTTGTTGGAACACTCGCCTTCTCTCAGAATGATTACTACTTCAGGCCTCCAAATCTGCACCGGACAAGTTGTCGGTGCTCTCGCCTCGTATTCTTTCACTGTTTCCCGATTCGTCTCGAACATCTGCGAAGCGCCTTCTTTCTCCGACGTTTTTCAGCTTTCAGAAGGACGGCTATCTTTCTCTCCCGGAAGTGTTTGATGTAAGTGTGAATTGGTAAGCATACCTAGGTAATTGATGCTTGACTATAAGCTACTAATTTCCACCTGAATTGTCATTTTTTGAGATGGATAGAGTTCGCGATTCCTGCTATCATCAGTCCACTCTGACAACTCCGATAACTTTGCTGTCTCAACAGTTTTACTTACCTCATCCTCTCCCAGCTCCAGCGTGACGCAGTTTTGAAGTTCTGGGGACAGGTTTTCGAAGTGTGCAAAAATGAACCAGGTTGGACGGCACAGATACTGATTGTGATGTCGTGGCCCCCTCCTCTTTCCCAATACATATGACGCGCTGAGAAGTTCCAGAATGAGTACAGAAATTCTTTACGTTCAGATAATTACGACAAACCAGAAATATCAACAACTTATGTTGGATGTCGTTCTCGACGTCAGTGGAGCGGGAAAAGTGCTGGAGGTCAGTCCACTCGTTTTTGTGTGTTTGTAATGGTCGTTTCGAGGAAAACATATGATCTGCATAACGAATACCTTACTCTGACAATAAGTAAGTAAGAAGAAACTTTGGTTCCAGCTTGCCATAAAGGGTAAGTGAAGATTTACTAATTTACGCACATTTTCCATAAACGTTCCAGTCAGTCCTATGGGAAAACTTCGTCATTGAGACATGCTATTATTAGGCCAAACAAATATTCTGGGCTGCTCCGGCATTTTTTTTTCTGATTTTTTCTTATTTTTTATGTTCGTTCCGTGATACTTGTTCGACATACAGTAGCGGTCAAAAGTTTGGAAACTTTTTTATTTTTGATCTAGCGTAGCCGATAGACAATGAAATTGCCCCGAATTCACATATTATATTCAGAATCAAGTGTAGATTACGATGGGTAACATAATTTTTGAAAACTAAATCGAATTTTATAAGAAATGGCGCGTCAAAAGTTTGGAAACTTCCAATTCCAAAGCGAATTCGGCAAAATAGCTCTCAAATCCACATGATAAATTAGTTATTCGATGAGTAGCTTTGAATTTCTATGTCAGCGTCGTTTTTATTGACATGGAGTTGATTATAAAATAATTTTAGGACTTTTAAGTCGAACCCTACACACTGTGAACTAAATCACATTGTTTGGTGGGATTCTTAACTGGAATGTGGGTTGAGCGACATGCCAGTTCTTCCGTGGGATGTAGAACTCAATTACACTTATAGATCTTGAATTCGTCGCAAAGCTCAATTAGACTTTAGATCTTGACTTGGTCGCTTCATAAGCAGCTTCTTTTTCTGGGTTTAGGAAGGCGGCAGTGAGGAGGTAGGCCTGCATTGGGTCATTTCCACGATAGAAAACCCATCTTTTCCGGCTAGTTCTGACTATCGAAGGGAAGCATTGTATTCTACGGACTATACTTGTACTTACCAGGAAAGGTCATTTGGTCAACCCGGCCATTTGAAATGAGATGTATATGTGTATACGCGCCTTGGGACGCTGAGCTCAAATATGTGTTCCTTATCTGCTGAACTCTTCTCTGAAAGGAATTATGAAGCAGAAAAGCGCAGGGGCTGTGGTCGAGGCTCACGAAAAAGAGGTCAGGGGATCAACTCCCTGGCGAGTTTGTTCTTTTGCCGTTTGCAGTAAGATAGCTAGGAAGACTCCTAACATCGCTAGTCCAACATGCTTGCGTATAGTTAACAGTAAAAAGAATTAAGGGCAATAATAACTCGAACTTGGGCGGCATTGTACTGACTACTGGGTAGGACTGTACGCAGACCAGGCATTTGCTAGCAGGCTCTTATTTGTAGCAAATTTCTGGCAATTCTTAAGATTTTGACCTAAATTGATATAAACATGAGAAAAACGTCTCTTCCTCCAAAGAAGCTATCAATTATGTAGCTAGCTGGTAGAAAACTGTGAGCTGCTTTGGTTGTAGGAAAACCTTTTCTGAGTCGGTCGAATCCAAAGTCATGATACTTGATATACAGTGTCATAATTGTTATCTAAGATGCGTTTCGGATGTCAGGGACTTGGGATTCCTGATAAATGATAAGCTCTCATTTACTGAGCATTTCAAAAAATTGGCGATCAAAGCAAACTTTAGAATCTATAATCTATTTAAAGCTCTCCGCACTAAAAATTGTGGTGTTTTGTTGCGAGCATATACAACATATGTTTGTTCTATTCTTTGAAATAGGGACCGCTGTTTTCTCTCCTTACAAAAAAAGGAACGTTAATTTCTTAGAGAGCATCCAAAACAATTTCCTCGCAAGCTTGTCATGCGCTGCAGTGGTCTCATGGTCAGCTACCACTTCATTGCATGGATCTGAAAGAAGAAGGCAACTCACTTTAGCCAGTTTGTGCAGTAGAAGGAGTAATTTCGACTTAGTTATGGCTTTCAAAATCCTTACCGAGAAAGCCAATCTCATTCCTTCCGAATTTTGTTACTGTTGTCATTTCAAACACCAGAGGGGGTAAACTAAAGCTAAGGGCTCCGATTAGCAGGACTAATATCATGTTCAATTATTTCTTATCGACGTAATAGTGGCTCGAGCTTCAACAAGTTTATGAAGTATATTATTTCAATATCACTGCTTCTTACAGAGAATGATTTAATAAGTAGCAGGTCGCGGGCTTCTTTTTTTTCTCCTTTCTTTGTTTCTGTTTTATTTTAGTTGTAATGTAGCTTTTCACCTACACTTTTATTCTGTTCGTTTGCAATTTTATCAAGTGTTGTGTTGCTCGATTGGGCTTTGTTGTATGCTCTCGCGCGGACTCCGTTCGCGTCTCCAAAATAAATAGATAAATAAAACCTCGAAATTTGTGCAGTATTCATCAACCGATCACCAATCATTACAAAAATGTGCTTTCGTGTAGAAATAACCTTTCCAACACTTTTCACAATTGGTTCATAATTAGTTCTTAATTAGTTCATCACCTCAGATTTGGCGAAGAACTCATTTTTAGGGGTAGTTGGATTCCCTGAATACGAATCTGGTACGTACCTGCCACGAGAAAGCATAGCACCTGCACCACGGGACCATGTGCACTCACTAGTAAGTTATATGTTAAAAATTGAAGAGGAACCTTCTTATGCTTGCAATCCTGGGAGCAGGGTGAATATCGGTCGAGGAAATCCTCGACAGGGGGGTCGTACCTGTTGGGCTGGTCCATGGGGGGTCGTACTCTTGGGGGTCAGTAACAGAAGTGGTATCATGGTGCAGATAGGTAATAGGGTATAGCGCAGCAGAAAATGAAAATCCGAAAAAAAAACATGATATTAAATTTTCTTTGCAGGTTCAGTCGCTCCATTCCTCCACCTTCATGAGAAGGGCGTATTTGAAGGCAGTACAAAGAATGAAAGTGCATCCCCGCAAAGAAGAGTGCCACATGTGCGCACGCGCTGCAAAGGCACCTCCTCCGCCTATCACTCGCTCCTTCTCCCTTAATACCTCGCTGAGAATGACGCTGTTGTTAGGGACCCTGTCGGAAAAACGACAACCGTGAAGAAAAAGCGCTGGGCAAATGAAGTTGTTTTTTAGGTTACAGGAATAGCACAACACACTATGTCTACTACAATACAGTTTCGTTCGAAGGTCCCCATCATATAACACCTTTCAATCGATTCTGCAACTGTGAGTTTACCCACACCGCCCCACCACCCACCCAACCCCCCCGCCCCCGACCTCAGCGACGCGCCGCCCCATGCCCATGCCAGCTCTTATACCACAATACCAAATCGGATGATGACGATTGCTCCTATTCTCTTGTTTGCGTTCAAAGATATTGTTCTAGACACATTCCGAGTGTTGCCAACGAGTCACACTTGCAATGGTGAATGAGGGAGCGGATTTCCAGGTGGCCGGATCCGACCTCGATAGATCCTCGACGCAATTATCTCTTCAACCAAAAAGCTGTAGAAGAAAACTAAACAGACCATCAGGAAGCGCAAACCTTCCGCTTTCCAAAACTATCTTCCCTTTTTCAGGATCTTACAATATAAGAGATATATTGCTCTTGAAGTGGCAAAAACTCGCGTGAAAATTTCGGCCTCCTCGACATTTACTCGACGAAATTTGACAGACCCTATCTTTCTGCAAGGAAGGCTTCCAGAGCAATTTCGATGCTTGTTGGAAACGCGAAATCCAGCTCTATCTAACTCTACCTCAAGCTGCTTCAAAGGTTGTGAAATGGAGGAATGCAACCTTTTCATCGAGGGTGTAGATTCGGACGTTTTTTTTTTGAAATTTCGGCAAATCTGACCCAGTGACAATCGCGCCGCAGCTGCCGTTGAATCGGCCTTTGATACACTCGGCTGTTTTGATATACTCAAGCAAGAATCAAGATTGAATCGCAACCCCGTGTCTTCAGGATTTCTGTGCGTTTCTGAACGAACCTCGCCTTGAGGTCACACAAAGTTAATGCCTCTTTCCTCGAGTCGATATTTCAGTATGTACACAAAAGTATGCAGCGATGGGAGACGTGCATAGATGACAAGATGAAGCGTCCTTAGCATTATTTTGCAGAATTTTTTTTGATTGTTTTGATTTTTTTTGATTTTTGTTTTGCAGGATTTATTTTAATTGAATTAATTTGCTCTGTTAGAGGGGGTCGTGCCAGGATCTCGATTTCGGGGGGGGGGTCGTACCTCTGCGACCACGTACTCGACACGATTTTCACCTGCTTCGTAGATGTAGCATCTGGCGACCGTTGATCAAATAGCGGATTCAAAAAGGCTTTCAGCCATGTTCAGATTTGAGTTCAGCGTCTCATGATGCGTACAGAAATGTACACCTCATTCCATCTGGCCGGGTTGGCCCAATGTCCTTTCCTGGTTAGCCCAACCCACATTTCGCTGGATACCTAGAACTGGGGAATCGCCGAATGGTCGGACACATTCATCCATGACAATACTTCCACTATTTCTGACTGTTGGAATCTATACTCAAAATGAGGTTCCCATTTGACAAAACACTTCACAGGGTCCACAACATCATTTCTAGGAAGATAGAAATCCATTCGTCGCTGAGGACAAAGTTTCACCTCTCGCCTTCGGTCCATGTTAGCCGTTAGTGTGCGGAAGCCAGTTGGGCCATCCTGCTCTTGAAGCCCAATGGCTTCTTGTTGGGACATCATCCGTAATATTCACCAGGTCGCGGCCGATGTTGGCTGCACTTGGACTTTCATATGATTAGGAAAAAACCAGAAAAAGTTGTCTCTTAGTTGGGAATGTCGGGGGCACGGGACGTGCCAACCACCTTTCGAAGTATTTGAAGAGGAGGGTTGTTAGGATACTTTTTTGTGAATGATCATTCTTCTTATGCTTACTCGACTCCAATAACGCTAGAAACATTCGATAATATTGCTTCCGTAGAGACTGAACTACTAAGAAACAATTTCAATTTCGGATTGTAGGGTTTAAAAAAGGACCTCCCATGGAAAACTGCTTCCTTTGCATATGAATTCATTTTGAAATTACACATTGCTCAATGGTTGAACTAAAATTAACAGAAACAAGTGAACATTGAAGAGTAGGAATCATAATGATAAGGGAAACAAAAAGTTTCCAAACTTTTGACGCGCCATTACTTGAAAAAATCTTATTTCTCAAATATGATTATAGGTTTTTGGAAATTATTCTTCCCGTCGTATTCTGAACTTGATTTTGTATGAATATCTAAATTTGGGACAATTTCGTTGTGTGTCGGCCGCGCTAGATCAAAAATAAAAAAGTTTCCAAACTTTTGACCGCTACTGTATATGCCTCACCTTTATCTACTACAAGTCATTGCAATGCTGGGCATCAGCTCATCCCCTCTCATACAGCACCATAGATTTTTGATCGAAGATAGGTTAGATGTCACTGAAATGAAATGAGCGGAACAAATGGTTTTCCATTAGCATCATGCCAAGGCCGTGGGGGCAAGCGAAAGAACTCCAGCTTTTCCTGAAATTCCTTGTCAAGTGGAGACGAACGGCCTTAGAAAAAAAAACACTTTGTTTTGTTTTCCTTTTACATATCATGGAACCATTGCATCAAACTGTTGGTAAGTAACTTCCCAAGTCTCATAACCGATAACCATGCGAAATAAATAATATAATAAAAATAAATAAGAGATCGAAGGGCAGATGGAAAACCGCAAGGAACACTGGGATGTCACTGGGTTTTGGACTTGGTGAGGTCTTGACGCATGTGGAAGTCGAACAGTTTTTTTTCGAATCTCTTAGGTAGAGACTTCTTGAGATAGTCATCTTGTTAAATAAGGAGTGTTCTGCCAAGAAAAACTAGCTTGTTCGGATTTCTTGTCAACAGCGTCACGTAGGGCCTCGACACTGAGAGTCATGGGTTCGATGTGGAATTCTTTTGACAACAAAAGCGAACCCCTCAGTCTGCAGTAGCGGGACACCGTGATGAGAGAGAGCTAACCCATTTTGTGGTAGGATCCCTGCCCAGCCTGCTCCGGAACTCTAGGGGGTACTCATTAAAATGAAGCACTGGAATGGGTTCTAGAAAAATTATAGTCTTAGCCAAGAATGTTAGCGTGTCAATGAGCTTAGTGGAGGTTAGACGTCCGTTTGAAGTGAATGCTAAGCGCAGGCCTCGTGTTGGACCTCCAAGATTTTCTGGTAGTTTTCATGGCACCTAATGAAAAGTGACACAGAAATAATAGGTTGACCTAACATTATAAACCCCGGCGTAGATAGCGTGGCGGCAAGTGACTGCCTAAAACGGCGATGTCGCCTGGCCTCCACAACACGTTCAATAGGCCATGTCCTATTCAAATACCACCGTAAATCTGAATGAAGGTAGAATACGAAACACAAAAATGAATTAGAGATCGCCAATTGTTTATGATTATTCTTGAATTATAATTTCAATCAAGGTCAGATCTTTAATGAAAGATTAGTGTATGACCGAGATCATATAAAAGTAATGACAATTACTCTAACATTATGAAAGTCTGCTTTTAGGACCTCGTCATTCGTTTGAAGCCAGAAATGGACGAGTTGAAAGAGGTGAAGCTCCCACTTGTCGAAGAGCTATCTCACAGGGATGCCAACTGGATGCGGTAAGTTTCTATATAGACTCCAACGAGCAAGGGTTGTCGTCATCTTGTTGGCTTTTCCCAATGCCAGTAGTCGGCAGGTTCAGAATCCCCAGGTTAACTTATTCAGACCGAAAAAACACAGCCGAACCCTTTCACTTTGCGACTGGACTAGCTTTGTTTCAGTGCTCGAAATTCTTTTTGAAAACTCACTATTCGGAAAATTTTATGAAGTAATAATGTGTACGTTCGCCAGCATAGCATAAACTTGCTGCATACAATTTTTAATTGTTAACAACAATTTGCCAAGAAATGTAGTGAATGGAAGAGTCTTCCTCTTTTAGCTCCCTTACCTGCGTTGAGAAAATGGAGCTTTCCACCTCGAATCCAACAAAGTGACACCGGGTTTGGTTGGTTAATATTACTTGTTCATCGGTTTGCTTCTGGAATTTGTTAGATGTGCAGGCCAAATTTAAATCTATAGCCTCTGCTATCCTAGTGGAATTCGTTGGCTGACACACATCACAGTATCCTTCTGCCCTTTTTGGTATTCAGGGAGCTAATTGGAGAATGAACCATAATTTTCTTCTGCCTGCGACCATATATCATGCAAGCAACCTTTTCCAAAAGGCTTGGTACCCCTGGAAGACTTCCTCGTTAGGCTGGGTAGGGGTATAGACGTAGACGCGAGATAGCTCGTTGGGGTGGGTAGGGGTAATGACGCGGAGAAATGAATAGCTTCAGTAGCTAAGAAAATGGCACAGAAGAGACAAAAGGAACGCTTCGAACCAATCAGAGGGCGAGTTTTCCGCAAAAAAACCCATCGCCGCGTCGTATCTGAGCCAGATTTACCCTGTTCGGAATATAGCGGGGATTTAGAGCTTTGTCGCTTACATTTGCAACACAACTCGTTTGCAGTGTACACGACTCATTCAACGACGATCAAGCTAGGGACTACGCTGAAAAAGGCTACACATTTTTAGACGAAGCACAGCTGAATCTCATTTATAGCGAACAAGGTCAGTGGTTCTTCTAATCCTTACATGTCAAGCATGTACTCAATAAGCAGTCAAAAGGGCTCTCCATCAGGGTGAATATTGCTTGAGAATTCCTCAACGGCACGTCGAGGATTTCCGTATGATTCTTCACGTTCTCGCGCGTTGATATTCACTCTAGCCACCCGCGAGCCATCTGTGCTCTCCGCGCGCACATTCACTATCGGCTCAACTCTCGTACAGCAGAGAGCGATAATCGAGAAATTCCTCGACCGTTATTCACCCCGCTCTCCATGCAGTCCTTGCGCGGCGTTAATAGCCCATCACTCGCACTGAACACTCGACCCAATCCGATGAATTTGCGAGCAATCTTAAAACAACAGTCAGCAGGGCTCTTGCCTTCGGCATTGATGGTGTGGAACGATGTGCCAGGCTAGATGGAAACAAGAAGTGTGCTGTACCCAAAAACTCATTTGGAAGCAGCGAAAAGGGTAGCTGAACGCTTCGAAAGTGGCTCGGGCATCGCTGAGGCCCTCTCGCCAGCCATGAGATCGCGTAATTGGCTGCGGAGACATTTGCGATCGGTTTGGGACCACAGAGACTATTTGGCGTGACTATTTTGGGACCACAGGGACCATTTGAATTTGATCCACGATCGCAAATGCCTCTGCAGCCAATCACGCGATCTCAGGGCTGGCAAGAGGGCCTTGCGTGCGATGGCCGCCACGCCACTTCAAAGGCGAACCCCCTTTCGCGGCTTTCCAAGGTGAGTGTTTGCTTCAGTCACATTTCTTATGTTCCCTATAGGACTGCGTATTCGTGTCGCACACTATTAGTGTCGAAGAACCCTGGTGGGACTGGTACTTTAACCGTCGGAAAGGCTTTCGATTGTTTGACAGTTCATAACAGGGCACGTGTAAGCTCAACGTACTTTTACGTACTTATTAGTCAGTTTCTTTTAGTAATATCCTAAAGTACTTTTCAAAAATATAAATGCACCCTTGAAAGATGCTGTTTCTAGTAAGGAAGACCAGTGGCTTTACACCTAGTCTATTGAATTCAGCATGCACTGAAACTACAGTGTGCCTTATTTCAGCTAACACTATGGCTTAGAAATATTTTTGTAAGGAATTCAGAAATACTAATGCTTCAAATGTTCAAAAGCACCGTGATCAAGTGGAGTTCAATAGCAGAATTTTTCATACTTCCCTTCCCACTTTACTTGCGATTCCATGACCATGCATAGTGAAAGCACATCACTTCTTCGATAGATTTGAAACATGTAAACTTTGTACCAAGCCACAATTTCATGCAAAGCTCAGATGCTTCATAGCTGTTCAACGTAGCCAATCCCTTGACTGTAACGAGAATGTAATAGCGATTGCCGTTTTCGATGGAACTAACATTTTTGGTATCACAAGCTTCATTCGAGTACGAGGTACTTCATATTGAGATCGCTTTCCAGTTCAGCCAGATTCGTCGTGTACTGAACTGGCGATGAACCCCAAGTGTTGTGCAAAAGTGCACGATGAAGGCCTGGCGATTAGTAAGCTCCATGGAAAAGTTCGTCTTGAATTTCGGAGGAACATGAGAATGGAGTGAAGCTCAGCAGGTACGAGTGCCACGGACGTACTACGGAGAAGACCTTCATCAAGGTGACTAATGGGCTCTGGTTTGGATCAAAGTCCCGATGAGAACGAGACGGTCTGCATGGATATCACAGCTGATGGTGGTATCCTGGAAAGGACCCATTGGTTTTCGGCCGAGGGAACTTTGGTGGTGGATCTCAAATGCTGTGAGCTGTACTGTGTAGCTGTGCTACCCTCTCTGGCTTATGTGTCGAGTAGAAAGGAAGATGTTCATGCTGATCATTTATTGTCGTTTCTAAGTGACGATCGCCGGTGGCATTTCAAAATTCTCCATTCACTACTACGCCTCTACTGCCGCAGCCGATCCATTAAACAGTAATTCTTCGTCAATTCACGAAGTCAATTAATAGGCTGGTCCAAATACGGTTGCAATCTACACATTGAGAAATATATGATTAATCATTGCGACTCATCTAAGCTGTTGGCATGCAGCAAAATGTTGTGGAAAGCCCGTGGTGTGCAATCGAGACGTACCATCTTGATGCGGTTCCTATGTAAAAGCTCAGATAGTCTAGGCACATGGAAGAGGAGTGTGCTTTCACTAAGCATGCAGTTGCAAATGAGTTAGGAGGAGGAACAAATTTCATTCTGTTAGCCCTCTTGCTTAGGGTGCCTTTATATTATTAGGTTGGAAAGAAAGTTCTGCAACACTCTTTCTAAAATTTTCTTTTTTTTTCTGAAAAATTCATAGGTAACATTTATGACTAACAAATGGTAGAGCATTCTCGAGGCTTTAATCCACGAGGTGGATATAAGTGCTGCAGTCAGTAGTATCCAAGAAAATTCAAAAAACCTCGACCACTAGTAAATCCATACTCCGAGTCACTGTCTAGTACAAATGTCTCCAAACTATGGATTCGTGTCAACGACCGACACTATCTGCAATAGCTTCAATAGGCGTTCACCGCTACAGCGTGTTTCACCTTTACCAGCGCTTTCGATCTTTTGATATTTTTATAAGAAGCCAGCAGCGTCCCGCACACTCCATTACAGGTAGGGCTCTTACGGAAGCTCCACTACAAATTCTTCGTTATGGGCACCATTGTGTAGGTAGAGGTCTAGGCTGCGGAACTCCAGAAGCTGGCCGAGGCAGCTCGTCAGGAGCCCTCGTACCGCGACAATATTTATTTCTTTCATGACATTGCGAATCACCATGATCCGAATGAGCCTGAGAAGCTCCGGACCTCCGGCAAGGATTTCTTACCTCTCTTAGCGTATTCCCTGGTCGAGCTATAAATGACCACCTATCCTGGACCTTAAATCATCATCTTGATGACGAAATAATTAGACGATCAACTCCAACTCGAAAGTGAGGTCGCCTCCTTTCTCGACCCGCACTCCGCTGGGTTTTGGCAAAGAGCATCAAGGAAATTTTCTGAGCGTTGAAGACAAGTGGTGGACACTCATGTAGATTATAAAACCGGCCATAAGTCGTAAAAAAAAGGTAAAGTGAAATACGAAAAATTTGAAAAAAGTGTGGCAGGACTTTTTTTCCAACTTAATATTAGATTGTAAGGAACGTTCTTGCCGTTTTCGACAATTCGGGTTTGAATGCATTAATTTTGGCTAACTTCCTGCCCAACTCCTACGCCTTGTTCATTATTAGATAAAGCGTTTTCCGATTTATCCAAAGGCCCTGTCAGCTTCGCTCTAGAGCACGCTCTAGCTCCGACTTTTTTAATGCCTTGAATGCAACATGATCAATGAGCAATCCGCATAACTTTTTTCTAACTCGAATCGGAGAGAAAGGAGAGCAACCGGTCTACGATATCAACCATCCATTTATACTCGCATTAACGAAAAATGTGCTGTGCAGTGATAGTTTGGAGATCTTGCGTAGGGATGGTGAGAGCCTTGGAAGTGATGTGAGTGGTTGCTAGATATCGAACGTTACTTAAAACTAGCTTAAAGACTTGATAGAACCAAATGTACTCAGAAGTTTGAGAAGGCATGGATAGATGAAGAAAATCCGATAAGTCCGATAGTGACGGAAATCGCGTGATCCCAAGAGCGCCTGCCTTCTTTTCTTCTTCATCCTGCTTTCATCGAATGGAACCAGCGTTTTCCGTTCAATGTACAAGGGATTCTTAGCAACAACCATCGGGCCTCTACTGAGTAGTTCGACTGCGACTAGGGTCAACACAACTTCGCAAAAGCGAAAGCGCACGAGAAATACGTGCTGCCTGTTACGCGGTCTGCCGCAGGCGCACCTCCGAGCACATAAGGAACTATCACAGTGGGAAGTCTTTTTGACAAGATGCTAATATACCCAAAAACCGTAACAAGTCGAGCAAGGGCGGACGCAAATGAGAAGGCTCTTTTACGCGATGTACCTCAGCCGCCAAACACATAACCAGCTCTGCAAAAGAAAGATTTAGTTTGGATACAGAACCGTGTCGCGAACATCACTCTTTTACTCAATGGACCTCTTACCTATTGGCTTCTTCTTTTTCATTTCTCTGGACAGCGGCTTTAAAGAGAAATACTACTGACAAGATGTAACGATCCAAGCTGAATTCATCGCTTATATGTAGAAATCCAATACTTTCAGCGAGCCGACAATTTGAACACATTCGGTGCTAGCAAGGGAGCTAGGTTGTAACGGTTTTTATTATGAGCGGTAAACGTTGAATGGGTCGAGTTCTGCCTCTAATTTCAAGGAGAAACCTAAAGAACCCCCTTACAACCTAAACTTTTGGAACAACAAGCATATTCATTGCTGCTCTTCCTTTCTAAAATGAGTTGGACTCTAGTTTCGAAGCATGCTGAATTTGATCAAGTAGGTTGTAGGTTAAACCTTTATCCTAAGTAGGAACAGCTAGCTTCAGGGGTGCCTTCGCACTTTAGAAACTTTTGACTCACTTTTGTATTACAGATCAGTTGTACAGTGGGATTAACACCACAAGATTGGGAAATCTGTCCAATGAGGAGAAAGCCCGAAGACTGGAAAATGATATCCGAGAAATGGCAGCTTTGGATCGACCAAAGTGGCCGATGTGGGAGAGTGGTCAGTCAGTTCACCTTCTTTTTTGCTTTTTTTGCTTGCATTGCTCACACATGTGAAAACTTGATTTTATACAGTTGTCGTACCTGACCGAAATCAATGAAATGAGTTAAGTAATATTTCCATACAGCACGATCGATTCGGAAGCGCCATGTCTCGGAGGGCGCAGGAGCAACAAGGAACACGACTGCGCATCATTCCGAAGGTGGTGAGCATGAGGAACGCGTTAATGGTGTCCTGTACGAAACCTTCCACCCGATCGCATTCACTTCATTTGTGTCCCGAGGTGGAGCAATGGAGGTGGCCACACTATCTCCACAAGCCTTCATTGCTGAAATCGCTCACCCGGAAGCGCTTGTGGTACGTTATTATGAAGCAATTTTTCTGAAGTTACAATCGTTGTGTTGCGCTACGTGGAAATGCAGACTGCTGCTCTCTGCATCCCGATGAGATTGCTTCCATATTACAGTATTGCAACAAAACTGTGTCAGCATGGTGATCCGTTCTGGCTGGTAAGATACCAGCAATGGTTCATAGGTCAGCTTAGGGACTTGAATTGAGGTAGACATTTCTATAAGCATCCTGAGGCTCTGAAAAGGAAAGTCCTCCGGGTCGTCATGGTCATTCGCGACAATACGTATACTAAGGTATGCGTCTCGGCACGCTGCTCGCGAATCTGTCCTCTAAATTTGCTAAAGCTAGGGTGCTAGAGAAATTAAAGGCACGATTCAGGATTAGTCAA